TAAACATAGCTTTGCTGCTTTTTATAGAAGCTAATATTAGGAATGCCACTTTTATTGTTTCGATAAATTGTCATTTTTATTTAACAAGTTAAAAAAGAGTTATATATATAATAAATAATTTATTAAAAATATATAAAACTATAAATTTAATTTTCAATATTTTGATTTCCATTATAAAAAACATTATATTTATCATGATGAAATTTAATCGCTTCTACAAATGAACAATTAATATTTAAAAATATAAAAAATATAAAATATAAAGTGAAATAAACAGTTGGAATATTAACAAATAAAATTTCAGCAACTCTGAACTAAAAAATAAACAGTATTTAACTAATATGTTTTATTTATTAAATTGAAAGTGAAGTGTGTAAGTTTTTATTATCATGGTGAAGCGTAGCGTTAATTAAACATGGCGAAGGCCCTTAATAATGTTACAGAAAAATATTCTTAATTTTGAAAATTTTGATTAAAAATTCAAAATTAAGTATATTTTTCTTAAAATATATATCAATATGATATATTTTTATGCATAGAACATGTTTACTTAGAGCGTAAATATAGAATAAATTAATAAAATTTTGAGAATAATAATATTTTTTATAATTTTATTAATAAAATTATAAAAAATTATTAAATAATATAAAATGTATTGGTATTAATATATTTTTAGAATTAGAGTGCAATTTTAAAGATTTTATATATATATATATAATAATGTATATTAGATATAAAGTTTTAATTTCAGTTTTTATAAAGTTTTTGGGGATCCTAAGCATTTTTACTTAGAATGCCTAATCCTGTTTATTTAGTATGTTTTTGAGAAATAGTGATCTATAATGTTGAACACTTATGGTGCAAAATAGTAGAGTCGAAAATTATATAATCCTCAAAATTTTATTAATTAATTATATATTTATGTTCTAAGTAAACTTGTTCTATGTATAAAAATATATTATATCAATATGTATTTACTTTATATTTGTAAAATTTAAGAAAAATATACTTAATTTTAAATTTTTAATCAAAATTTTCAAAATTAATAATATTTTTCTTAAAATTTAAAATTATAATGTAAACATATACCAATATAGTATAGTTTTATGTGTAGAACAAGTTTACTTAAAAAATGTATAAATATAATTAATTAGTAAAATTTTGAGGATTATAATATTTTTTATAATTTTATTAATAAAATTATGCAAAATATTATTGATCTTAAATTTTTGAAAATTAAATCTCTCTTTAACTTCTAATCAAAGTTGTAAAAGAATGTTTTGTGATTAAAATAGCGGTTAAATCATTAAAATTGGCCTAGTAAATCACGAGATATAAGTATTTTTGTCTTGATGGCTATTTGTTTCTTTATTTATATAAAGAAGAAAATATATAGTCATAAGAATTAATATACTTATATCTTGTGATCTACTGGGCCAATTTTAACATCTTAACTGCCATTCTAATCACAAAACACTTCTCTACAACTTTTTTTAGAAGTTGAAAATAGGTTTACTTAGTAAAAAAAAAACTTCAAATTTGAAAATTCTAAAAACAATAAAAAAAATTTTACTATATTTTGTTACTAAACCACTATTAAACCTAAACATGTTTATAAACTTTGAACTAAACCTAAACCTAACTTAAAAATTCAATACTAAACCTAAACTAAACATTAACTTGACTTAAAAGTTCAATATTAAACATAATTGAACTGAACCTAACCAAAGTTTAGTTTAACTCAGGTTTATAAGAACACTAGCATTAGCCAATTATATCAGCTATAACAATTAATAAATTTTACAATTGTTTGCATTTAATATTACATATATACTCAAATTATGCTAATTTTATATTAGCAAATCTAAATTATACTGCTAGCATAATTGTGCTATGCTAGTAGCATAATCCTGAACACCCTAATTATATATATATATAATTCACGTGATACGGGTATATTGTACCTACGGGTATATATAAATAACTCTAATTTATTATTAGGTTACAGTTCTGATTACATCCTAAAAAAGTTGTAATTAATATTTGCAGCAAGCAATGCTAATGGAAGACGAGTTAGTGATAGACATTTTGGATATGATTCACCACAAAATTTTTGAATTTGGAAGATGACATCACTAAATTAACCGACGGGACATTAATTATACGTGTCATATTGGCATAAAAAGAATATATAATTAACGACTTACTCATCCAGTTGAAAACCTTTTGCATTATCAAATTTAGTGAAGGGTCTATTTTTCCAAATCCCATTGTATATATCCATCACAAAAGAATTGAAATCATTGATTTGGTTGATGTTGTAACGCAATGCATCACCACCTATGGATGTCTCCCGTTCACATTTATCGAATTCATCTTTATACCTATCAAAATTATCAATATTATCAATATTAAAAAAACAAGCAATATTAAACAGATGAAAAACCGTACTACCGTAAGATAATGCCACAAATTCGTGACAGAGGCATTCCATAAGTCGAAAAAAAAGAGCGATGGATAACTGAATACGAAGGAAAGATAATTCCACGGCATTCATATTTAAGTTGCAGAAGTGTCGACATTTCTATAAAAGATAGAATAGCGTGTTGTACTTCTACTTGGTCTTCGTCCTGTGATAAAGAAGTAAACTGGCTATTTAAACGATTTACTACAAATATTTGAAAGCCATCAAAAAAGAGCATTACTTCAGGCATAAGGATAGTTCGGTCAACATAATCAATAAAATTGCGTATGGTTTGAGAATAATCTCTGTCGATGGACAAGCTTCCAATTGAATTTTCTCTAAGTATTCAATAAAAAAATTTTTTAAGGGACAAAGCCATGTATTAAATACAGGAAAGTTTCGATGATTTTTCTTACAAATCTTCATTATCATGATTTCCTTGTTCTATCCTTTCATAGTACCCCTCGTAAAGTAAAGTCCAATATTTTAGCAAACCAGCATAACAATGAATCAATTTGGACTGAACAAATTGATGAAATATTAGTTTCATCCGGCACGAATTAGGATAGACCATGTAATACAAACCTTCCAACTAGCCGATGAATTATTGTATAAAAATTGCAATGGTTTCAATATTTTTTCATAAAGTTCTAAAAAGGCAACAATTAAAATAAATGAAGTCAATTTATAATTAATTAAATGTTACAATCATAAGTTACATTAATTTTAGATATACTAAAAACTGACGGTTATAAGGTCCAGGTCTTAAGAATGTCAAAAGCCTGAAAACCAGTTCATGATATTCTCCGCCATCCCAAGATTGGATATATTTCATTAAGAACTCTTGAATAACGGGAAGTAACTCCTACAGATAAAATTACATGCTTCAGCGATACGTGTATTACAAAATATATAAGCACGATATTATACCTTCATGAACTCTGTCATGGTAACTATTTTATTCAATAAGCAGTCAATTCTCATTTTCTTAGTCGCATTTTGATCATTCCAATAAACTGTTTCCATGAGATATTGATCGATCCAATAGCTTATCCTTGCAATGGCAACCCCTGCAAACAATAAAATCGCTACGTAAATAACAGATTTCCTGATATTATATTAAATATAATTTACATACTTTCTGGATTTGACACTATGACATGTTGAAGCAGATGGTGGTCCAAAACAGAAGCTAATTGATTTGGTAGCTCGACTTTATCAATATTATTTGCAAGCTGCCTGATATCTGATATTTCATCAAGAGTGATCGATTTCTACTAGTGCAAAAAAAAAAAGTTGAATAATCAGAATCATCAGTCATAATTAAAACATTACGTTTTGTATTTTCTAACACTTACTTGAGTGACATTATATGTACGGGTGGTCGGTATATCGTTATGTTCTATTTTTCTTCGTTTCTCCTTAATTGATAAAAATAATTAAAACCTCTCATGAATGAAAGGCTTTATTAGAATGTTTGGATACCAACCACCATTTTTGGAATCATTTGTCTTGTCAAAGACACATGTGATAAGGACTTGTCATTGTTCCATCTTCTCTGAACTTGATTTATTAACTGATGCCATGCTATGTCGGGACACTTAAAAAAAAAGCCAAATTTTATGTCTTTAGAATTTTTTATGGATAACCGTTCTTTTGTTTTAATACATGAATACCTTAAATGTGATACTTCTTGATGGTTGAATATCAATTGTCACTAAATTTGGAAAATAGTCTTTATAAAGTTTTAATAATCCTTGTATATGAGGTTCATAACCAGCCCGCGTCTGTAACTCAACTCTG